ATACCTGACGATTACATAAGTATTACGTAGTATGCCGTCACCTGAGTGTTGCACAACTATTACATAATATACAAGAGACCTGCAGTTTGAGTGGTACTCAGACGAGGGTGATATCATACATAGTTCAGTACCAGAAGGTTTATTACTATAGGTGGATGGTGTTGCTAAGGTTGGACTGTGTTTCTACACGAAGTGGTATCAGAGGACGCGTTTTTAGACCGCCATGACAGGCGCACATGACGTCTTAGTTCCACGAAGTGGATCGACATGTCTCAACATGACTAGATTTAATACAGTCGGTATGAAACACTAATTCATTAGTTCTACATTTAACCACATTTCCTGACCATTTATATGTAATTGTCCTGAAAAAGGACACTTATTTAAATATCATGTAATGATTTAAAATTTACTGTTTCACTAGTTTGACTTTATGCTTTCTATATAACTTGACAAAATATTTCGTTCTATCACATGTTGTTTAACATTTTTGTCTTACACGAGTTTTACAAAGGTGGACGGTGTTGCTATACTTCCACACTGAATTTAACAGTCAGTATACATAGTTCTTTCACATTACACGTTACAAAACACTAAATGTATATTCATGATATTTTATTTCTCAATACTTGACGGGACATTTCAGTTCGCGTACAATTATCGCATACTTTCTACTCAATACTGTACCCGAAAAATGGTTCAAAAAGTTGAAATCGGCTTAGAATAATTTTTCAAAACGAAAGACCTATTCAGTTCTAATTTATGATAATTACATAAACATGTGAAATGTATGAGATTTAATTATATACTAATGTCTAACCATTATTTTAAATATCTCATGTTATAATGTTTCATAAATGCTTTTAAACAGTGTTATTATTAGGTCTAAAAGATATTAATGTCGCGTTTTGGAACACTTTCGTTAACTACCTCCCAAAAAACGTACATCACGTATAATAGTTAAACGAACCGCCGAAACGCCACGTTAGTGTAGTCTATATTCTGTGTAAAGTTTAGTATACTCTAATCCCTTATAGTGATGGTATACGACGAGACACACATTCGGTGTGTAATGCTGTTTTAATACAACGAAGGGAAACAACGCCTCTGTAGCCACAAAGAATATCAAAGAAGTTTATGGAAATGTTTTGAACGTTCGTAAGTGTCAACGATGGTTCAGCAAATTTCGTTCAATTGACTTTAGCCTTAAAAACTGTGATGACTTTACCGACATGTTGGAATTGATATTGATGCTCTGAAGACGCTTGTTGAGCCTAACCCAAAGTAACACACTCGTGAAATGGCCCTGACATTGCATGTATCTCATGAAACATTACCTAAACATCTAAGGAATATGGGAAACTCCAAAAAGAAGGTGTTTGGGTGCCCCACGAACTCTCCGATGATCATCGTTTCCAACGTGTTAACGTTGCTTCGTTTCTTCTGGCGCATAATGCACGTGAATCATTTTTGGACAGAATTGTCACCGGTGATGAAAAATGGATTCTCTATGTGAATATTAAACGCCAAAAGCA